ATGCTTTCTAGTCTGAGATGACTTTTGATAACTTTGGTGTCCAATACTTTGAAATTTTGATGACTTCTTTGAAATCTTGACTGTTTTTTTGTTTTGTTTCTTTTAAGTGCTGTGATAAACATTTTGTTTCCATGGCAATTACATCAGACTTAAATAGAGGTTTATTAGGACACATCACGATGATTATAAGATAATGGATTGTAGCTCTTATATGTTATAAAAGGTATATATATATATATATATATATATATATATATATATATATATATATATATATATATATATATATATATATAAATAGATTGTTATGAACCTAATTTTTGATATACGTCATGATAAATGTGTGTTTTGTATGGATGTACTGAACTGAATACAATAAATAAGCCTAAAATATAAAATATTAATTTCTCTTGAATTATGCGTGTTTGATCATTTTTCTATATGGGTGAACTGATTTGACAAGAAAAAAAAAAACATTATTTGAGCTGGTTAAATGAGCTTCAATGACTTTGGTATTCAGATTTTGGAAATTCTGAGCCTTTGAAAATATTTGCATTTTGGGATGTAACATATTTGTGAGTCGAATGAATTTGCTTTGTGATTTATATGAAAACTTGGAAAATGTCAGCAAAGCTGACTAGTTGTTTGGAACCATGAGCTTTGGAACCATGAGCTTTTTGATATAGTCTCCATGGATATGTTGACTAAATAACAACACACAACTTTATACTTATAAAAAATCTTTAAAGAACAATCAATGTGTGCCTATTAATTTTCACACAGTCACAAAATTATTTAGTGTTTTTGTAGTTACTCAAGACCAGAAACAGATTTGCTCCATTGCATTTTAGATGTATAATTTTCAGAAGGAATTTGAATGTTATCAGTGAATGTTTAAATTCATTGGAAAAACAATTATCTCAATTTGTTGTTTTTAATGATTGAAATGACTGATTGGTACCAAAGGTGAAGTTTCAAGTTTGTTTCTCTGAGTGATAATTGTCCATACGGAAGGTTATAGGTTCGATTCCAGCTTCCTCCTGCGACATGTCGATGTGCACAAATTGCATACAGGTCTGCGTATTGGTCTATGAATGTGTGTGCGTTTGTGAGTGCGAATGGGTGAATGTGACTAGTGAAAGCGCTTTGAGTGCTCAAAATGACCATATAAGTTCATTTTTCAAGCACTATATAAGTTCAGTCCATTTACATGTTTGATCATTGAGTTTTAGAGTGTGTTGTTCTTAGTTTATGTAAAAATATATTAGTTTTTTTTTTGCTGTTTGCAGTGACTTAAGGATGAGCTTCATTTATTCTATTTTCTAATTTATGTTCTTATTGTGTAATCACATCTAGTATAGCAATAACACAGTTAATTCAATCTGATAAAGAAAACTAAAGACATTCTCAAACCTGGGTTAATGTATTTTTGGTACATTAAATGTTTAGTGTTCTCTCAAGATATGTCCTTAGATTTTCGTGAAGGTCTTGATTCTGAACTATAGTTTTTTGTTTTCCTTTCCATACTGTAGCGCTCCCAGCAGATGGATCCCCAAAGTTAGGGGGACATCCAGACAATGGTAAGGATCTCAGTAAGGTGGTCAAATGTTTTTTTTTTTGCCGATGTCAGACGACATTTCACTCACTTTATATTTCACTCCCCCTCAGTCTCTGAAGACCAGGTAAACTCAAGTTGTCGTTCACCTCCAGACTGTGGACTGTATTACCAGCTCCAGTGAAGTTCAGGTTGGTAATGATTGTACTAGTAGCTCCAGAGGTAGCTGTACTACCAGCTCCAGTCTGACAGTGGACCCTGCTTGTGCTGCATCACAGCTGCTTGAGGTTCTTCCTCCAAACCTTAAATACATATGTGAAATAGGAATGCTTCAGAAGCCTCAAGAGGGCATTTCTCCCTTGAGTTCACTTGAATCCACACATGGACTTGACAAGAGGGAAGATCCCATTTCGAGTCCAAAGGATCCCAGACTGATTGGAAGAGGATCCCATCACCAGGTAGGTTTGGAAGGGGACACAGCTTCCTTGACTTCTGGCCACCGTATCGTAAGGAAAGCTGCACGGAAGGTGAATGTTGCGAAGGAGGATGACCTATCACCAAAGATTAATTTTGGTACTGTAATTCCTTCAAGCTTTAAATTTACATGTGGACTAGAAAAACAAGAAGAGCCCATTTTGCATCCAGAAGATTTCAGATCTATGGTGACCTCCCAACATTACCAGGTAGGTTTGGAAGAGGATGCGGCTCATGTGAGATGTGTGACTGGCAAAAACAGAAAGAGAGCAAAGGGCAGTGGTGCTGAAGAGGAGCCCCCCACCAAGAAGTGTAGGGACAGTGCTTCTGAAGAGGAGCCCTCTGCCAAAAGGACCAGTGAGAATCAAGCTGAAGATGACCTCCCCTCGAAGAGGACAAGGGACAGTGGTGATGAAGAGGAACTCCCTGCCAAGAAGCCTAGGGACAGCTTTGCTGAAGAGGAGTTCCCTGCCAAGAGGACCATGGACAATGGTGATGGTGAAAAGGAGCCCTCTGCTAAAAGAACCAGGGAGAATCAAGCTGAAGATGACCTCCCCTCCAAGAAGACCAGGGACAGTGGTGATGTTGAAGCAGAGATCTCTGCCAAGAGATCCAGGGACAGCAATGACGAAGATGAGCCCCCTGCCAAGAAACCCAGTTGGGAGGAGGGCCTTCAAGGGATTGGCAAATATGACAAAGAATTGGAGAACAAGCCCATTCAGTCAGCCCCTGTGTTCATTGCCTACCAAAAGACAGACCACGAAGGTCCCGTTCTGTCATCCGGTGTACTCAGTCCCTCAGGAGGGATGGTGCATGGTGATTCTTGTTGGTCATACCCTGTCTTGAGTCAGTCATCATTGGCATACTTGAAGGTTCCCATTTTGTCACCACCCTTTGGTTCTTCACCAACAACATCATGGGAGGATACCATTATGTTTTCCCCTGTCCTTAGTCCTCCTCTCTCACCATCTACATACACCAGAGATCCACTTTGGTCATCCTCTGAGGGGAGTATCTCAGGGGGTACTGAATTCTGGATGGGGTCTGACGAGGACATAGAAGAGGATCCAACACCTTCAACGACTGACGGAATTACAGGAAGAGAGCGTTCCAGACCGTTGTGGTTTAGACCTCACTACTACTTGTCTAGTGACTCTGATTAGATCGGGATCTTGAAGTCACCTGAGGACATCATCACTTCTCTATTGTTATCCATCCATTCATTTTCCGGTCACCCTTCTCTCTAACGGGGTCGGGAGGTGCTGGTGCCTATCTCCAGCTGCGTTCCAGGCGAGAGGCGGGGAACACCCTGGAGAGGTCGCCAGTCTGTCACAGGGCAACACAGAGACAAACAAGACAAACCATACACACACTCACACCTAAGGAGAATTTGGAAAGACCAATTAACCTGACAGCCGGAGAACTCGGAGAGAACCCACGCATGCACAGGAAGAACATGCAAACTCCGTGCAGAAAGACCCCGGGTCGGGAATCGAACCCAGGACCTTCTTGCTGCAAGGCAACAGTGCTACCAACTGCGCCACTGTGCAGCCCCTCTATTGTTCTATTAAAGCCAATGGCTTTCTACCAGCGCAGAGAAAGCCTCAGGTAGCGTCTTGCACTTGGACTTTCCTTTTATCCTGCTGTTAGATTTTTAATTTCAGATGTTAAGAATTCTGGCAGGAGTGGGGTGCCTTAGGTAACGTATTACACCGGGGCTTTTCTTTATCCCGCTGCTGGATTTTGTAATTTAGATGGTAAGGATTTTTGCTGTATAGGCAATTCAGATTTTTTTGTTGTTTAATCAAAGAATGACTAAGTGCTGGAGGAGACAAATTAAAATTTCTGAAGAATGAGACCACATTTCTAAACAAAAAACACTAAAAGGAGCCAGACATCGCTGGTGCGTAAATGATAAATGCTGAAAGTATCGAGACAACGCTTCAGGATTAAAACTACATCTAAAACAATCTTGTTGAGTAAAAATTAAACATCAAAAGAATTGCGACAACACTGCTGCAAATTAAACTATTTAAAACTGGATCAACGTTTCTGTCACCTAATTTTTAAGACATGAAAAAATGGATGGGGACACCATATAACTGGTTGTGCTGTGGTATTAGTGGATCGAAACATCGGTTTTAAAGTTTTAACATACCGGGCAAAAGTAAGTATCAGTCCTAGACAGAGCAGCTCGCAGGGAGACTGCTTCTTCCACGATTCTCTTTGTGGTTCTGTCTCTGTTTTGAGGACTTTGAGATCTATCTGTCACTTGAGCTTTCTGTTTCGCTTGGTGCGTTCTAATATTGTAAATTGTTCTCACCTGTTCTTCCACTAATCCAGTCTCTCAGTTTTAATCGTTCAAGTTTCAGCCATTCATCGCTGGATTCTTTCGTCACTGTCCATGTGGTTCCTGTCCTCCTGCTTCCCTTCTTGTTTTTTATACTGCTGGTAAGTTTTTACTTTCTACATACACATGACTCTTGCTTGCCTCCTGCTGGCTTTGGGGACATCAGCTTTACTAAATGAAAATAGAAATAGGAATTTACAATTCATAATTTAGAAAGCATTCCTCCATATAGAGGAATATTACTTACTTATATTAAGTAAGGAACTTTTGCCTGATTATATTTTGTATTGAGACCAAATTACAGCAATGGACCAATAAGAAAGGAGAAGACAGAGGAGAGCATAGACAGAATTTATGATTGAGCGATTTAATTAAGAGCTTTTATTCAGAGAACACGATTGGAGGTTATCTCTGATGGTTCTGATCTTCCCAGGTTGGATCTCTTCAGTCTGTAAACCTCCATCTTCAGCGCCACCAATCAAGTGGAGGAAGATAAGAGAACCCACTTGAAAAAAAAAGTAAGAGCATTTAGTTTTACACAACAAAACATTGTCAACAGGCAGGAGTTGATTTCTTTCTTTCTGCTTTACTTTCTCCTCACTGACCCTTTTGTTTTGTCTGATTTGTACCATTGAGTCTTTTCATAACAACCGGGGCCTGATGACGGAAGGAGGATCAGGAATAGAACTTGGACCTGCTGCACCTGCTGATGTAAAAGTTATATTCAGTTTTATAAGTGTTATCTGTTGTTTAGAATTATTTAGAAATTTGCATGATTCAAAAAAGACAACAGCGCTGGACCAATCAGGGGACAGAAGACACAGAGGACAGTAGAGACAAAGAAAATCCTGCTGGAAATCCAGAGAAGTTGTTTCCTGGTGGAACAGGAGGACAGGACACAGAATAAAGAGACAGATTGTGTGAAGTAGGTCCTTTGATAAAAAATCAATCATTGCCATAGAAGATTATGTTGAAAATTCACCTGTTTAAGGGTCAGACATTGAATTTTAAGGAATTTTAGAAAAAGTAAATGAACTGAAGTTATATAACACTATTCCAATCAATACTTCAAAATGATTTACACTAGAGTCACATTCACCTGTTTACGCTCACAAACGCTCACACATTTGTACACTGATGGGTAGGCAGTTTGGTAAGTTAAGTGCCTTGCCTTGGGGCACATTAACATGTGGCAGGAGGAAGCTGGAATCAAACTTACAACCTTTTGATCCCAACACAACTACACTACCCACAGAACCCTCAAAGAAAACCCGGAGCTGATTTCTGATCCCAGATTTAGACTTTGAAGATCAATAATGTCTCTGATCATCCCAGGTTGGATCTCCTGAGCCAGTAATCCTCCACCTTCAACACTAGCAGTCATGTGAAGGAAGATAAGAGAACCTAGTTGACAAAAAAAGTAAGAACATTTTTATCATTCAACATAACTAAACATTTCAGATATAGCTGCAGAGAGTTGAGCTGTAGAAACTGTTTCTTTCTGTCTATGAATATTTTACTTTTTAAAGATTGTTGTCTTTTCTCTTTATTTCATTTTGTCAACTCGCATCACATGACTTGAGTTGGCCAGCAATTAAAGCAGAAGACCGGCTAATTTACCGGATGTAACAGATTGTGGAAATGGTGAGGAGATGACGATGACTTCATCAGAAAGTTTCCTTCAGGCATCTGTTATTTAGACAGAAATGAAAGAATGTGTGTCTGTTTTGTGTGATGATTCTCCAGCAATACTGAGATAAGACAACAGGATTGGACTGAGGAGACACAGAAAATTCCGGTGCAAATCCCGAGATCCCAGGTTGTGTCTCCTCAGCCTGTAAATATTCAGATTTACAAATTATGAGACAGTTTTAGCTCCAAATGGAACTGTCCGTTGCCTCTTGTCTGTCGGCTGTTTGCGTAAACGAAACCAAATGGATAAATCCACACTGTGCTGTAATGCTCACCGCTTTCAATAGGGGGTGCCAGAAGCGCAGCTTTTGCAGCTAGACTGCAAGACATGTGGCTGAGACTTTCTGAAATCTATGCCTCATTTTTCGCTAAAAATACTTCCCGGATACCTTCATTTCCGCCGAACAACACAGCAAGGACTTAGACGCTAAAACCACAGCGTAGAATTTAGCCTCAGCTCTGTTCAAAGGTGAGTGACGATAATTTACATTAGCTAACCGAAGCTAGCTGCTTGGGAGCTACAGGCGACGTAAGCAGGTGCTGTTGTTCAAAGCCGCTAGCTAGCTGTCTTCTAGCTAGCTAGCTTGCTCCTGACCTTCATTGCAGCCGTTGTGGCTAATAATAAACAGTATTCAGGCGCTCTGGTCGCTGCACTAATAACACGGAGACAGCTTTCAGAAGACTTTGGTTGGAGCTAGCTGTAGTTGTCCTGCTATCCAATAACAACCATGTTGTTACCGTCGTGTTGGCACAAGTTGGTGCTAATTTAGTATCTCCAGACAGGAGGCCGTGCTCACCAAAACAGCTTTTAAAAGTATAAACTGCAGACCTATATCACACGCTGAGTCCCGCTGAACACATTTAGGTTTAGTTAAACATTTGAAGTGTGGTCAGAGATTCAGTAGTTAGTCGATTGTTATAAATGGCCTCTGATTAACTAAGTTGGGTTGACAGTTGAAAAACAAAGCTCAGCAGTGGTGTTGACATGATATCAGCGGAGTGGAGGAGAATGTCTTTAGGCCAGAGCATCAGACTGAGTCAGTGTGACCTTAAATGGCTCACTGGGATAGATTTTTATATGAAAATATTATACAAAAAACTAATCTGATTCAATCCCCTGAATCACACTGTGCAAGATGAGAGCGTTGACTTGCTCGGTGGCTCATTAATATTGGCTACTGATGGGCTTGTTTACGATGATTCAGACATAGTTAAGTCTGAACTCTCCAAAGGGAACTTTGAGTCGATTAGATCTTAAATCTAAGCAGTTGTTGTCCGTGTTTCAACACAAGGTGAGTGACAGAATCAAACCCTAAAATTATTTCACTTTCATTTTTATTCAACAGCCAGCCTCCAGTCTTCAAACGGAACAACCTATCTTGATACGGGAACAGTTGCAGCAACAGGATTAAAACTTGTACTAAACTGCAAATGGTTAAAAAGCTAGTGCTAGCTTATCCTGTCATATTTATTTACTGACATCTTTGGCCTTTTACTGTTTGTTTGTTGTTGGGGGATTTTTTTTTTTTTGCCTCCTTGGCAAAATACTTTGGAATAATGCTTTTGTCTTTTAGTCCAAAGAGGGTTGATCGGCTCTTCTCCGGGTCTACTTGTAATGTGGCTTTTGTTTGAGCCGTAATTGTTCCAATGAGCCTCTGCAGGAAGATGAAAATACATATTTGTATTGATCTTTGACACAAATGAGAATCTTTGACACAAATCAGAATCTTTGACAACCCTGGTTTGTAACACTTCACAGACTGACAATATTACTGGCTTTGATTCTGTTCTCATCTTACTAAATTTCTTTAGCTACAGGCAGGATGTGTTGCGTTTTGAGATATGTTGTTGTACTTCATGTTGTCAGACATTCTTTTTCAGTAATTTCTTGACTCTGCAGGTCTGGGAGTCAGTGCGCCTGGATGTTGCTGGTAAAACGACTCAGTTGCAGAAAAATGGACAGTTAGTTTATAATTGAACAAGTGGTCCATTTATTTTCTCAATTCATGAAATCATTATTTGAAAACTGTTTACTAAAATTGAAGTCTGGCAGAAAAATCAAAACAGGTCTTTATAGGGGCAAATACTTGTTTTCAATACTGTATAAATACAACATGTTCTAAATAGGTTAAGGTCATGAATTTACATAATTAAAGAAACTTGATAAATAGTTGTAAAATGCTGGTTAGCATGTTAAATGTTAAAAAGCAAAGATTATCTGGCTTTTGTTGCATGTGTTCAAGTGCAAATATGTCTATTATAATATTTCACTCAGGATGTGCAGTGTTGACAGGCAACAGTTGTTTTCATTTTCATTAATATTATAGCATTTTGATATCCTGGTTTTTAGAGATCAACAAAAATATAACAAGGTGGAATTCTTAAACAGTCAGGCTAGTTTCTCGGGTGGCTAGCCTGCAGCCACTACTATACGCATGGAAGTTTCTGCAGTTTTGAAATATTATCCGTTGTGTGTTTCAAGCCATGTGTTGTCGCCTTTTTTAGCCAGCTAACTGGCAGTGCTATGCTAAACGTTTAGTCTATTTCAAGCAGTTCAAGTAATCCCGTCTCAGCAGGATTATTGATCTGCTTCAGTGAGTTATTAAATAGACACGAAACACACTTTACGTCAGCTAGGCCTGACATTAAAAGCTTTGAGTTGTTGTTTTACTGATAAAGACAAATTGCACAACTAACTCCTTTTAAACTGAGCTGGAACCATGCAGTGGAAGTTCTCAATATTCTTTAAACCCACCTGGAAAATTAGCAGCAATTTGATGGATTTCCTGCTGAAAATGTATGTTTCTGTTGTCGTCATGTTCAGGACCACCCAGGGCCGGACATGACTGGAGCTGGAAGTGGTGAGATGTTTGGCTCTTATTTAAAAAAAAGAAAAATCAATCTATAAGTCCTTGAAGTGGATTGTTGTTATTTTTTCAAATATTTATGTAATGTGCTTTTATGTCAATTGAATAATTATATATAAATGTGTTTTTTGTGTATGTGTATTTATTTTTTTTGTGCTGAGTGATGCTTTGTTTAGCGATCTGTTGTGCTGTGTGTTCAGGGGGCCAGTCCCCGTCGGAAGGGGCTGACGGCGAGGAGCCAGAGAAGTGTCCAGTCTGCCTGGGCACGCTGGCCGGAGGAGAGCTCGCCATGCCGGACAGCTGCTGCCATGTTTTCTGCCTCAGATGCCTCCTCACATGGGCACAGGTGACGTGTGTGTAAACTAAAACACATTTTGTAATTTTTCTGTTTGAATCAGTTAGAAAAAATTCAAGTGTCTTTGCTCTACCATGGCAGATGTCTTCCTCGTGCCCGGTGGACAGAAGACCATTCACTAATGTTTACAAATGGGACGGCCACCTCGGCCTCGTGCAGGTCAGTAACCTTTTAACTGGTAACTTCATAAAACTGTAGTGAAACTGAGAGCTAGTTTCTGTTTGACCTGAGCAGATCAAGTGTCTGTGATTCAGAAAATATTTGTGGAACAAAAAGCCAGATGCTTTTAATACGATGTTGACCTTCTTTGTATCTGAACAGAATGTGTTGCTTTTTGATTTCTTCATGACTCTCTGAACAGCCCAATTGCAATCTTTTCATGCTCCCAAAAATTCTGATTTATGCCACTTCCACATGTGAAACTAAATCGAATATGTATTTGATAGTTTTCAAGGCACATGCATTATTATCCTGCCAAGCCTTTAATGTAGTAGTTTTAAATTTGTAGGTCTTTCTGTCCCAAGTTTAGTCCAACAGGTGAAATGTTCATTTTGGTTCAAATCAGCTGACTTGGCTATTAAAGGATATACCATTTTTATGTGTTAATGAACACCATATGTTTTGGGCCATTATCCATCTGTATTCCTTCCTTTGAATAAATATAAACATGATTTGAAAATGTTTTGTTTTTACTCTGCTTATCTTTGATATAAAAAGAAAAAATAATAACTCATTGTTAAGGGAGCAAATATGTTTTTTGATGCATGGAAATGTTTTTTTTCTTAGATTCCTATAAGGAGGCAAACAACTCAAATAGAATCTGACATTTGCTGCTGTCAAAAACCTGAACAGAAAGTCTGTCACAAGTGAGTTCTCCTGACACATTCTGGTATTTGACTAAAGAATGATCAGTTTCTCTTTAAACCTAAATGGTATTTATATTTTGTTCATACAGAAACAAGCCTGTTAGGAGATTACGGCAGCAGAAAATGGAGAGGAAATCTGACATCAAAACAAGAGGGCTCGTGCGGAAGTGTATGTTGTTTATGTTTTTGTTTTTTCAGAAATGTGCCCTTGACCGTCCTTACAACAACTGATTTATCAATATCTCATTTTAGGTAACAACGAGGAGCCATCTTCTCTAAACAGAAAAAAGGTGCACTTCTTCATCCATTTCAACTGGAAACAGATTTCTGCTGTAGTGGTTTGAAACTTAAAATGACTAATTTCAATCTAAATAATTTGAACTTTTGATTATCATTAATGGGTGAAATGCTTACTCCAGCAGAGTTGAATAACTGGGAAGGTTAGAAATTCTCCAACTGACGCACAAAACTATCTGACGAACCGTAATATTATTTTCGATCACACTATGGTTTTGAGGCACAAACAAAGGAGGAGTTTTGTGGGTAGCAAGAGCTTAGTGTGAGTTACAGCAAACTGAATCACACTGTTACTTGTCAATAATAAGAGACACAGATGGTTTGAGATTAAGACTCACACAGAGTCTACACA